TGCGATGTTGTCCCCCACAAGCTCTCTCTCTCTCTCTCTCTCTCTCTCTCTCTCTCTCTCTCTCTCTCTCTCTCTCTCTCTGTGGGCTTCTGCAGATGTTCAAGCCTTGTATAACGTCGTACTTACTGGAGGAAGCACAAAGGAGATGGTGAAAACGCAGAGGCTGTAGATGAAGACAACGAAAAATATAAGCGAACGTCAACAAGAATGAGGTGAACCTGGTGTGAAGACAAATAGGTACCAGAAGGTAAAAAAACGAAAGAGAGCCTCGGCCTGGGCAAACCAAGTGCAAGCCTTGGAAAAAAAGTACCTGTGGTATACCAGCCACACTTCAACGGTACCAGTGGTAGAATAGGCCAAAATGTGGCAAAAACAATGAAGGCCGAGAGGGAGAGGCACTGTAGTGGCACCGGGCCTCTACAAAAAACTCGTTATGGGGGTTCTAGCTTCGTGCAAAAAAAAAAAAAAAAACCTCGGACTGTGAAACCGAGAAAAGGGACTTGCGAAAAAAAAAAAAAGGCTCGGCCTTGGAAAAAACATACCTGTGGTACACCAGGCTTCAACCGCACGGCACGGAAGGCATAATAGGCCGAAATGCGGCAAAAAATTGGAAGGTCAAAATGGAGAGGCACCACCGCGCCGCTGGACCTCTACCAAAACACAAACCACGCGGCAGGGCGCATTTTGGGAGGGGGGAGGACGAGGTTATGGGGGGCGGGGGCAACCATCGTGGTTTTGTTTTTTTTCTTTGGGTGGTGGACCACGTGGAACGCTTGATCGCTCTTCGTAACACAGTATTACAGAAATTTTAATTCCTTGCAGGAATTTAATTGCACTATCCTCCGACATGAGGACAATGACGGTTTCGAAATGAGGTCGCCATATTGACATAACTCGTCATCATCGCGTCCAACGCATGTCGAACCGTGATAGGTTTTTTTTTTTTTTTTTTCCTCGCAATGAAATCTCAATTTATTATTTTTTTTTTTTTTTTTTTGTCTGTCGATGTCAAACATTTATTTTTTTCGTCCTACACATCCGCAACAGCTCACGCCGCGGAAAACACCAAGGTTCACTACAGCGGGCTGCCCTTCCACCAATAACCGACGTTTCAAAGGACATTTCCACGCACTTGTAAACTCCTTTGCGAGGGACTTCAAACAAAAATTGAAAGTGACAGACATATTGAAAACATGTTGGAAATATATTGATTAAATGTTGATCAAATGTTGATCAAATGTTGAAAACTATCGGCCGCATGTTGGCAAACGGTTGGAAACATGCAACCGGTTCGTCTAAACGATTGGTCGCACCATTTCCCCCTCTTCATACGTTGGTTTCAACTTGTGTGTACGTTAAAACCATGATGAAATTTTGCCACAATTTTTCAGTTGTAATGCTGACTTTGTCAGCGGTGTGGTTGTTGAGTAAGGGCATGAAAGTCAAACTGGGTTGCACCAGGTGTAGATGACTGTTTGAATCCACCCTACTTTTGGTGGGAATGTCTGACATCCAAGCGAGTTTGAAATTGGTGAAAGTACTATTAGAGAGAATTCAGATGGTAAGGAGTGGCATGAGACAAAAAATGGGTCCTCCTTGTGTTTCTTCTCTCAAATGTAAGAACTCATACATTGCACATCTGGTCAAGGGTACGATTTTTATTTCTCTTATTTATAATTATTAGATATAACTTATTTAGATTCATCCTATGGTACAAAATAGTAAAATATTAATATAATTTCAATAACTGTACATTTTATTTATTAATTATATAATATAATATAATAAAAATTATGAATAATAAATATTGATTAATTTAAATTATACTGTTATAATCCAGGCTATCAGTCGGGTTGCCGGGGACACCTTGTTTGTCTGAGAGGCCTGACTAAGCAAGGACAAAAAAATGCGCCCCCCCCCCTTAAAAAAATCAAGTTTGAAAATTTTATAATAAAGTTATATCGTGCAAACACATAAATTGAACAACTTTTGTCATATGGTCACATCGAGATTCCTTACGAAATTTAAAATAAAATAATAAAATTAATATATATACATGGATACAAACCCGTACGTACAGAGGCCCCCTGGCCAACTTCCGTACGTTCAGCCATTCGGGGGCCGAGCCTCTCTGAACCTCAAGAGGTTCAGACCCCACCAAAAACTATTTCGGGGCCTACAAATTATTATTTTTTATGGAATTGTTTTTCGTGAGTTCTCTATGATGTGACGTACATGCCTATAAAGTTTGAGATAATTTTGCTTAGCCAAAAAAAAAAAAAAATCGCCAAAGATGGCGGTGTCAAAACGT